TTCTCCTCCATTCTCCTTTTGGGATTTTAGGAATGCATACACATGTGCCTGGCATGACTTTCAAGCCACTGGATCCAAGACTTGAACCACAGTCAGCACATTGAGAGTCCAGCACCTTTACCACACTGCCTGCTGGCCCTGAGATGGCATTTCTAAGGTTAATGATCTTTCCCAACTACTCTTTTATTTATTTATTTATTTTTTACTTCTATTTTATTTATTCATTTTTCATTTTTCTCACAAACATTTGCTTTACATATCAAAAAACTGTACTCATACTCCATAGTTCTAGACAGTTAATAAATAAACACCTATCAAAATTTCAAAATACTGAATTTTAAAATAACTGTCAAAATATTTGTTATAATTTTGTTTGTGACTCCATAATAACAGAGACAGTATGGTTTTAAATATTTTTGAGAAAATATTTACATGTCAACTACTCAAGCTATTGAAAAGCTAACACCCAGCACACAATTCACACATGAACCTTCCCAACTCAGTTCTGCCTACCAAGTATTCTGTGGTTTACCAGCTGGTAGCAAAGATCAGTCTCTTTCTTTCTTCAGAGTCTTCTTGAAGTTAATCCTGTAGTGTGGCTGCTCTTTTGCAATCTCTACTGATTACGATGCTGGGCTGGAAAAGTCCAGGTATATGGTAGCGTTCTTTCATATGGCTTATCTAATCCTCTCTGCCAGGCAGAACTGTTTATGGTATGAGGCAATCTTTCCAAGAGCTTCTGTTGGTTTTCTTGAGATCTACCTTAGTTCCATAGCTTTTTGGTCATATCTCCAGATATGACATTCCAGCCAAAGCTCTGGCAGTAATGAGTATTTCCAATTTCTGATGCAAGGCAACAGGTATTATTGAACTTATACAAATAACCCTTCTGCTACAAAACAAGAATATTGACAAATATTTTCCAATTTCAGAGGGGTCAGAAAGGGAGAAAAGTTTGTTTCAATTTAAACAAACAAACAAACAAACAAACAAAACATTTGTAGTTGCTAAAACTGTCAACAGCTCAAAAGTTAGCAAAATCCTTAAATCTGGAAAACAAAGCATAGAGGAAAATCAGTAATGTTTTAGTCAAACATAATCAAATTCTATTTTACCAGTTCAATCTCATTTAATTAATCTCTCTTCTGTTGAATTTGCAGTTTTACTGTAGTCTGATCTGTCCATTTAAATCCTGGAAGTTAACATTCATTGTTGTTATTGATATTGCTGGACTTGTCCCTACCAGTAAGTTGGTCTCTTTCCCAACTTTTTTAGTAGCATATATGTCTTTGCCAATGTGTCTCCACAGTATAGTCTATTAAGGGCTTATTTTATTTTTACTTTATTTTATTTATTCTTGGAATGTCAACTCTTCAGATAAAGAATATCATTGGTAATAAGAGTTTCTTGATAACTGTTAGCATAAGTTTTATACTTTTGGGTTTTCCAAGTCTGCTGTTTATGTCCAGTCTCTGATTCTGTCCTTTTGTGTGTGTGTGTGTACCCCATACACACACGATTTTTTTTTTTTTCGTGAGTTAGCCCTATTTACCTTTTTTATTTTACCAGGCTCTCTCTTTGGTCTACAAAGAAAGCATATCTTCAACATTCTTTGACTTTTGTCTCCTGCTTCCCTTTGGTGAATAGCCTACCCTCAGCTGAGGTCAGCAGGCACACCAGCATCTGAGCCTGTGTCAGTCCACTGGAATCACCCCCTGCTGTCCCACCTTCTCCTCCTCACTACTGCAGCTCTAGGATATCCATGAAGTAATCCGCAGCACATTTTGATAGCGAGGTGATTTTTCATGCCCCAGAGGGCTGCGGGGAGAATAGAAGATAGAAAGGACTTTTTTGCTTGATTGTTTATTCTGTTTCCTCTTGCATAGGAGAGGAAAGAGATGCATCGGAGTGAGATGTCTGTCATTCAGCAAACTGATGTGTAATTGAGTTTAACTCCCAGATATTAAGGAAAAGCCTTAGAATTGGGGAAAATTTGAAATAATTTGGATTTTAGCCAAGAGGCTGACATAGTCAATTTGCATTTTAATAAAAGAGTTTGGTCTCAGTGTAGAGAATAGACTGAAGGAAGAACCAGCGAGGACAGGGCAACTGGCTATTTAGGGAGAAAGGAGGAGCAATGAGGAAGACCTAAGCGGAAGTACTGGAGTTCTGGGTAGAGGAAAGTGGATTTCAGATATTTAGGATACAGAAAAGAAGATTTTAGGACAGTGCAAATGTGAGAAGAGGGATGTAGCCCAGGTTTTTGATTTTGGCTACTGAGTTGGGGAATGATGGGTTCAGCTCTGAGCTGTGGGGCCGACTTGAGTCCACCTGTGACATCAGCTGTGCTCCTGAAGCTGCGAGCTCCCTCAGCACCCTGTGGCTCATTACATCTCCTTCTGGTATAAAAATTGTGTGTCACTGAAGTCATCTTCTTAGTTAATAGAACCGAGTTGTTAATACTTCAGGCCCAGTTCCGCTCCTTTCTTGCTAGGTAGCTCAGATTCCTCTGTCTATCACCTGTTTATTTCCAGAGCTACGCTTGCTTCTAGAGCTAGAAAAACTCCTTGTGGAAACTCTCCAAACATTGTTGTATAGAGTGTAGTCCCTGTAGTCAGACTTCATCCAAAAAATAAGAATAGCATACTTATCTTTTTTTAAATTTTAATTTATTTATACATTCAATCACTCTACATCACTTAGCTTGTAAAGTGAATTTACCCAACATGAACACACTTCACCCTAGTCCAGTTGAAGATACTATAAATGTTATCATCAACAGATAAGAGTAGTGTACTTATCTTTTACAGCTGATGAATGTTAAAAGATAGTGCATGTTAAAGTGTGTAGTATAGTTCTTGTACTCAGTAAATAGTACTTATCATTTGGTATTCTTTAGTTGTAGACCTACAGGTCAACTATATGAAATTATTCTTTTAAGGATTGGATGTAGTCAGAAGTTAGTAAGCACTGGCATGTTTTCATTTGCTTGTGGGAAGTTTGAACTGTAATAAACTTAATGCCATAAAATTTAAGTGGCCACTTATTTATTTTTGATGAATCAGGAAATGTGGGCATGTTCAATAATTTTTAATAATTTGGTATTTTGTGTCATTTTAAAAAATATGTGTGGCAAAATTCATTTCTGACTAAGCCAATGAACCAACATAATTCTATTTTGGCTAAACCTAGGTTTTTTATTTCTTTGTTTTTGTTTTAGTTTGCTGTCAGGCACGTGTACTCACCAGAAAGAGATGGAGACAGAGAGAGAGGGAAAGTGAGAAATCACCCTCCAGGAGGAATGGACTACATTCCTTTTTCTCCATTCTCTTCTCAGGATTCTGGGCACACACACACACACACACACACACACACACGCCTGGTATGTTTCTCAAACTGCCTGGTCTAGGACTTGAACCATGCAGTTGGCTATTTGGAATCCAGCCATCTTAACTGCCATGGCACCAGCTAGCCCATCCTAGAGTTTTATTTATATTAGATATTCTGTTAGATATGAGAAAAAGGATGAAAATACCCATTTCACACAGGAATAAGTACAAAAAAAACAATGATGAGGATTTTTATGTTTCATATATATTTTTGGCTATCATTTTGATACTGAAATCAAGATTAAAAAATACTAAGCTTGGGACCAGCAGTTGGTGTAATGGCTATGTCGCTGGACTCCAATGTAGTTGACAGTGGTTCGAGTCCTGGACCCAGTGGCTTAAACTCATGCCAGGCACGTGTGCGTGTGTGCCCAAGATCCCAGGAGGAGAATGGATGAGAAGGGATTGCGGCGTGGCCATCCCCCCAGGGGGTGATTTCTCACTTTCTGTCTCTCTGTCTCTCTCTGTCTTTCTGGCGAGTGCACATGCCCTATAGCAAAAACCTCTCCAAAAAAAAAAAATAATAATAATAATACTAAGCTTCATGTTTTCTGACTAAATCTCCATACCTATTCTCAAGATCACATTAATTCTCATGAAATTAAATGTAAATTTACAGAAGTACATGACAATTATATTTTGTTTTTGATTTTGTTTTTCCAGTTTGGAATGGTTGTGAAATCGACTAAGAAGTCGATATTTCAATGTTTTCTGCCTGTCTCCTTGTCCCTCAGTTTTCTGTGCCAGGATATGTTTGTCATTCTAACCCAGATTGATGTTTTCGGTGTCCATTAAGTGCCAATCTGAGGACTAGTCCTTACTTGTCTATAAAGTCTGAAAGTGTACAGAAATCTCTTGTCGAATCCATATCTTTCTCTACTGTGGTTACTTAAAGTTACTGGGAATTATTTATGCCATTAACTAGATATGATTTACCTCCACACACTTTCATGTGCCTGTGTGACATTATACATATGCAATAATTTGTTGGCACATATATTTCTCTTAAGCAGTATATATATATATATAAACATATTTGCTATAGGGTGTGTACACTTGCCAGAGATAGACACAGAAGGACAGAATGCGAGAAATCACCCCCCTGTGGGGATGGCCACACTGCAGTCCATTCTCTTCCATTCTCTTCTTGGAATTTTGAGCACTCACGCCCAGCATGGGCTTTAAGCCACTGGGCCCAGGACTCGAACCATAGTTGACTGGGGGAATCTATTGACATAACCATTACACCATCTGCTGGTCCTTGTTTGATAATTTTTAACCATAGCTGCACATGATCTGAGATGTGTACTAAACCGGAATCAGAAGAAAGTGTGTGTGTTACCTGGAATGATTCTCTTCACCCTCTCTAGGTAAAGTTTTTGTCTTCAGAGGATGGTTGTGAGGGTCAAATGGGGTTAAACAAGCAAAAACACTTTGGATATCCATTCATGATATGGTTGTAAAGCGATGATATATTTCTGTTCATAATTCATATAGTAAAGAATGTACCATAAATTGAGATTTTATTTAGAAGAAATGAATACTTTGGTTGCACACTAACTAAACAAATAACTCAAACATCTTTATCTTTTCTATTTCTCAACCAACCAGAGTCGGGACCAGTATTCACATCTGCTAAGTGAACATTTTCTGCCATACCAAGGTCATAATTCCTTCCGAGAGAAATATTTTAGTGGGGTAACAAAAAGAATTGCCAAAGAAGAAAAATCCAGTCAGGAGGAAAATTAAGACTTTGATGATGAAGAAAGAATAAGAGTTTGAGAGAAAAGACATGTGGATGTGAACTTTCATGTAAGATCCAGAAAACATGTACAGTTTTAAATTTTTTTATATTAAAAAATGCTGTAAATTGAGCATTGTTTAAAACTTATCTTTATTTTGTAGACTTATTTTTGTTTTATGTGCTAGAAAGTGTTTTGAACCAATTAATTTATATTTGTACTTTCGAGTATAAGTGGAGATTTACTCAAAACAGTTATGTTTTTTACAGTTGTTTATGAAGATATGTGATATTGTTGACTTTTAAACCTCTGCCAGATATGCTTTGGGCAGTCAATAGTGGGTAAGAAATTATTCACTAGGTAGATTGTCTTAATCTGGCTTTTTATTATAATTGATTTACATTGCCACTAATAAACTTTACTGAGAATTTCCAAAATTATGTAGTATTCGGTGCTTTTCAAGGGGATGTCAGGAGGGAAATGAATTTTTGTGTTTAAATTCCAGACAAGTAAGGAATAACAGTGATCATGGTGATGATGAGAAAGGCTAGGACCTGACAACCGAAAAAGATTCCGAACTCCTTAAGGCCTATCCACATCTGAAGCTTGTCTGTACCTTGGATTTGCTCCTGCATTCCTAAACCTTGACTGTCGGTCAAGTTAACTACCCACAATTTTTGGTTTAGAAAGTAACTGATAGTTAAAAGCAGTAACAACAACACAAATCCTTGATGGTTCCCTAATGGTATTAAGCCTAATCAGTGCTCTTTGAAATAGAAGCTATATTTTTCTTGAAGGAGAAAACTTTGCTGAGTCTACATTGTGTCCATCATGAAAATATCTTGTTTGAAAACCACTGTGCCCATTAATTCAGGATGTTAATAGCTTTTCCTGCTTTCAGTGGTCAAATGTACCTCAGCAGGGCAGCAGTAAATGGACCTTCTCTCTCTAACCAGAGCCTATTTTTATTTATGTTATTATTATTATTTTAATGTTACTGTTGGCTTTTGTGGACTCACAGTATTAACACTCATGGCTGAGGACCCCCAAAAGACCGATGCTGCATACACAGAACGACCGGGCTGTCTGCCTCGCTGGCTCTCCCTTCCTTGTCTCTCAGCTCTGGATTTGAGCAGCAGAGCACAGACGTTTCAGTGATTGTTTTGTTTGGGTTTCTGGATGTGATTTGTGGTACACTGGGGAAAATCTAAAAGTATTCAAGGATGATTTATTTTCAGTATTTCTGTTATAAACCATCTTATTTAAAATTTTTTGAGGTTATATGGGGGGGGGTGAGTTTGAAACTTTGTAACTGACTCCATTTGGAATATGAGATTTTAGCTTAGTCCCCTTTTTGGGTTGTCACAAAAATTAGTCCAAACAGTTCTGGAAAGCCTACATTAATTGTAGTCACTTAATCCTTTAAAATTATCCAATACTTAAAAAAAAAAGTTCGGATAAATATTACTACTGACTGAGGTCTCCTAAACTTTAATTCTCATTGCAAGTCTTATTTTTCTATGTATCAGTCAGCTTAGTTTCCCCATTTTTGAAATGTCACTAGGCTCAGAATTACATAGTTATTTTAACTGTTGATAATTATTTTAAATTTGTGTAGTGAAAGCTCAGAAATGAAATCTATTACTTTCGACCACTTTTTATTTTAGAGCATAGGTCTCAAGCCCTCTTACTCTGTAAAAACAACCTTTATTTTTTGACTTTGGGATCATATTATTTTCTCCATTAAGTTACAGTAGAACGTTTCCAGAATTATGTTAGTTTTATATGCGACTCCTGTACTCCCCGTGTACCTTTCAAGCAGGAATATCACCTCGCAGATGCCTACATTTCAGATAGTCCCATAGCATGAATTTACAGTACAATAACTGTAGGTGGTCTGTGGACTGACCTATTTGATTTTTAAAATATGGCACATTCTGTCATTTTATTTCTGGCATATATTAAAATCCAGACAGTAACCTTGGGAGTGTTTCACCCAAAGTGCCTCCTTCCTAGTCATTCTGGTGAGGATTTTTGCTGTGATAGTTAGGAGGGAATACTTGACTAGGTGGTCTTTGGTGTATTTAGCCAAAGTGGCCAGCAAAAAAAAAAAAAAAAAAAAATAAATCCCTGCCATAGTTTTCTTAGCCACTTCCTGCCCAGAGTGGCCCAGGTTTGGGCCAGCTTGCCACTAACTTCCTTATGACTAACTCTTTAAATACAAGGATTGAGCAATGAAGCATTTTCAAACTGTTTAAGTCCTGGGAGGTCAGTCACTATTCCCACTATTTCTCGGTTAAGAAAACTCACTCACATATTGAGATTCCACACATGTTTAAGAAGGATGGTAATTATGATTAAAAAAAACATATTTCCAGTTTGGTAGCAGAAAGTAGAATATGAGTGACTATCATTAGGTGCATTGTAGTGGGCATGCTTACTTTACTGGGTAAAAAAATATGCTTTCAAAGTTTGAAGTAGGCAGGATCAGCAGATGGCGTAATGGTTACGTTGCTGGATTCACATGTACTTGACCACGGTTTGAATCCTGGTGGCTTAAAACTTATGCTGGGTGCATGTGTGTGCATGCCCAAAATCCTGAGAAGAGAATGGAAGAGAGAGATTGCAGCATGATCATCACCCCTGGGGGTGATTTCTTCTTTTCTGTCTCTATCTTTCCAGAGAGTGCAGATTTTGCCCTATTACAAAAATCACTCTTAAAAAAAAAACAGTTTAAATAGGCAAAAAAAAGTTTGAAACATGGCAGTAGCTTTCAAGGTGATATGTTTTATACTCATACTGTAAATTTTAAAAATTATTGATTTAATTCATTATTACTGTTGTTTAAGTAGTTTGCTGTAGGGCACATGTGCTCAGCAGAGAGAGATGGGAGTGAGGGAGCATGAGAAGGCAAGTCACCAGGTCTGGAACTTGAACTGCAGTTGGCTATGTGGGAGCCCAGCACCTTAAACACCATGCCACCTGCTAACTCCATTACTGAAAAGAAGCAAGGATTTGACTTTTTATTCACATCAGGAAAATAGATTTAGTTGAAGTTGTATTATCTAGATGCCGGTATTAGTAAATCTGGCTCTGAATGAAAAGGCCTTAGTTATTTGGTGTTAGAAGAGCTGCTGACATCTTATCCTGAAAATATCAAGTATTGCTTATCCAAAGAGATATGGGATAAAACATAATGTTTCTTTGTTGAAGATTGAAGGTGACTTTTTGGGGAAGTGATCTTCTTTCCATTGCATTTCAATCTCCCTTGAAAAAGCATGTGAATCTAAGCTGATGTTAATAGTTCTTAATGGGAAAACGGAAAGAAAAGCCTTTGTAGATAAAATAGGGCATTAATAAATAAATTCATTTTGCAGCATAGAGATAGGAATAGAAGTGGGTGTTTCTAAGGAAATTGATAACCTTACTGTTCACCTGTTGGTCAAAAAAGAATAAATTATATCAATAAATTATATCTTATTTGAGCCTTGTTTTTTTTGTTTGTGTTTTAGTTCTTATTTTCAAGACTGCTTTTGCTTCATTAAAAAGCTACTTAGGAAACGAAACACAAGAATTTTTTCTTAGAAGGATTTTTTTCATAAAATAAGTGAAGTCTACTTTCATTTCCAACTCACTCCCATTTTTCTCAGATATTTATCAAGTAATGTTGTTTGTAATCCAGACACACACAAAAAAGCCTTAATCCAGAACATACGCATGGACACAATAACCCTAGACTGATGATGTTTGTATTTCACTAAAACATCAAGATCTTCTCTAAAACAGAGTGGTTTGAGAACATAAGGTCTAGAGTGTGAAGAATTATAATGGAATGATAAACATATCTGTGACCCTATCTAGCTGTAGAATTGTAGAGACAGCACATTCCTGTCTATACTTTAGGGTGAAAAACTTGCTAGGGAACCTGACCCTGTTGCTCTAAAAGAGGTCTGCCTCAGGATGTTCATATGTTTCACTGTGTGGGATAAGCAAATTGACATTTAGACATAACTGAGGCCAACCTGGAATTTGGCTCTTATTTCTTCCTTCATAAGCCATTGTAGACAGGCTCTTAGGGGGTTGGAGGTTTAGTTGTCATGGCAGTCTCTTAAGAAGCCGGGTCAGGGAGCAAAATGGGGCTTAATAGATGAATGTGAAGATAAGCCAGCTTCCCTTATGTAACAGCTAGCCCTATTTCTTGGGATATTAGGATGTGCTTAGTGTATTTCGGTTTTAGAATTTGGATGTTCTTACTAAGATAATCTTGTTGCAGTCATACCAAACCAAAGTGCCTACAAAAGAATCTGCTTTGACCTCTATGACTTTAAAATCTCTCCTTTAATCAAGCGTTCCCAACCCTCTCCCGAGGGTTTATCAGAAGAACTCTATTTTGGCTAATGTCCAGCAGTGAAGATTAGCTAGGCTTATGTGCAAAGTTAGTCAAATTAAAAGAAAAAGAACAGGCTGAAGAGAACATGAAAATTGAAAATATAAATGGTACTTATGTTGGAGCTGTGCTTTGAAGGACTTTCAAAGTATTTTATCTAGCTTGTAAGTTGGTGAAGTGGGTCCAGGTCAGAGTCTATTTTAGTGAGCTTTAACAATCTGAAAGTCTCCTTTAATATTTGTGCATAATCATGAACTGGAGTATTTCACCCCAAGTCTTAGTGCTTCCAGTGTGAACAGCAAAACTTTTTTTCTTTGCATTTTTTAATATTCCTATAATTTATACCTGTTGAGAAATAATTCTCCATAAATATCTGGCATTAATGTATGTCTTTCTAAGCAAGGCATTAGGCTCTTTGTGTCCTGGACTGTCTTTTCAAAATACTGGGTTCTTGGAAAAGTCATGACACTTTTTTTTTTTTAAGAATTATTTTTTATTTAACTTTATTGATTGACTGATTGATTGATTTAAATTTGACCAGAGAAGGACAGAGCACAAGAAAGAGAGAGGGGAAGCAAGAAAGCAAGCCACCAGGTTCAGGACTAGAACCATGGCTGGCCAATATTGGGAGTCCAGTGCCCTTAACCACTACACCACCTGCTGACCCCAAGTCATTACACATTTTTTGCATAAAAAATACATCATGACTTCTCTGATGACCCAATATTTGTATAGTGAGCTATCTTGGAAGGTAGTGATAGTGTTTTCCTCCCTTGCCTCCCCCTTCTAATGACCAAAGCAGAGGTCAAGTTTGTGGATAGCCTTGAAAAATAGAGTGTTCCGTCCAAAGTAAAAGGCATGCTTTCTGTCCCTTATAAAAGATTTGGGCTTTCTGGGACCAGCAGGTAGCGTAATAGTTACGTTGCTGGACTCCCATGTAGTCAACTGCGGTTCTAGTCCCAGACCAGCAGCTTTAAACTCACACAAGGTGTGCGTGCATGTCCAAGAGCCTGAGAGGAGAATGAAGAAGGGATTGTGGTGTGTTCATCCCCACTGGGAGGTTATTTCTTACTTTCTGTGTCTCTGGCAAGCACACATGCCCTAGAGCAAAAATCTCTATTAAAAAGAAAGAAAAAAAGATGTGGGCTTCCTAAGCTTAAAGTTTCTTCCTTGTAATTAATGCAACCCACTGCATGTACAGGAATTCACATTTGAGTCTATTCAAGTGCCTCCCAGTGCCCCAGGTCTTGAGTGTGAGGAAGAACATGAAGCTGATTATCATGTACTTGCTATGCCATGACCAAGAAAGTTCTTTATCTGTGATCTAGAGTATTGTGTCTTCTTCCACTGCCCATGAAATTGGCTGGCTAACTTAGTAGCTTGCAATAGAGCAAAATATCACACCTTTCACAGTACTTGACAGTTTTGGTTATGAGGATGGGATACTGACAGAGACGTGATTTTCTAGAAGAGGATAAGGGCTGTGTGGCCCATTAAGAGGACTAAAAGATGTCTGTAGGAATTGCTAGCAAACATGTTCATCAAATTTCATGATCAACCTGATATAAGGTCCTCAACTTCACTGTCTGTTAATGAGGAGGAATTGGGTGGTGGTTGCCATTCATGTATCAGAAAATGGGCTCAGAGATAGCCACCCAAATGGTCCTTTGGTTTTCACTAACCCTTTTCCTCCTTTTTCTTTTTTTTTTTCTTTTCTTTTTTTGGAGAGGTTTTTGCTATAGGGTGTGTGTGCTCACCAGAAAGACAGAGAGACAGAGAGACAGAAAGCACGAAATCCCCCCCCCACCCCCGGGGGGATGACCACACCACAATCCCTTCTCCTCCATTCTCCTCTCGGGATGTTGGGCACACACACACACGTGCCCGGTGTGAGTTTAAGCCACCGGGTCTGGGACTAGAACCATGGTTGACTACATGGGAGTCCAGTGACATAACCATTACACTAACTGCTGGTCCCTTCATTAACCTTTTTCTGGGTGGAAGGAGAGAAGTTTCCTCATCAATCCACCAGTACACTTCAAGTCCATCCCTCTGTAATGTATTAGTACTAATACATCCTGGGAAGCAAAGTTTCACCTCCTTTTAGACAATGGTGACACATACACACACTAACCACTGTAAGCAAAAACTACGGGAATCCTTAGA